AACTTAGAATCAACAAATTTATTGTAATAACTGTACAAATGCTAAATAATATTTTTACAAGGATGTCTGGCTATGAAAATAGCTGTTGAACAAAAAGACATTTTTTGAAGTACTATATTATTTGAACTATTATATTTGAATTTTATTTAAAACACAACTCATATTTATAACAAACTTGTTAAAAACTTGTTTACTATCTATAGACTCTGTGTGTAAAGCTAAACTAAACCATTTAGACTTTATCTACCACCTTGTTTCACAACTTCTTACTATTCTCTTTTAACCTCGCCTCAGTAAAGAAAAGATTTGTTGCTTGTTATGTTTCAGTATTATTAGATTAAAGTTCATTTTTGAAATTCAGGCAGTTAAGTGAAATTCAACTACCCTTCCACAGGTCAAATTCAAGTAATAAAGCCTTTATTTTTGGCAATAATAAATAAACCTAATAAAACCTTTGGTTGAATAAAAGACACAAACATATGATTTGGTCTTGCCAACTGGTATAGCAAAACACTGAATTTCTGCAATTGCTTTTAGAAGAAACTGAAGATTAGAACAAAGAAATTAAAACACAGGTGCTTTATAACACTTTGAAATTGTATAAATCAAAGATTGTGTTAAACTCAGTAATCAGATAGTCTAGCAAAGAAACAGTGATAACCAAGTTAAAATCATTTGAAATGGAATTTTTAGGGTTTTTTAAAACAAATTTGGAGGTGCTGAATAATAATATTTTTAATTATAGAAACCAGGGCTGTGGAGTCGGAGTTGCGGAGTTAAGACATTTTTAGCGGAGTCGGAGTCGCTAAACATAATCGCGACTTTGACTCCAATAATAAAACTTCTCGGTATTGCACGTGCATGTATAAAACATTCAATTAACCTTATATTTATATTAAGCTTCAAAGAATGTTTCATAAATTTGTCAAAAAACTTTTTTTTAATTTGTCGCATAATATTTTTTAAAGAATTCAAAGAATTTTTCAAACATTTTGCTTTGGAGTTGGAGTCGGAGTCGGAGTTGTACTCAAAAAATTTCAACAACTGGAGTCGGAGTCCGGATTCCACACCCCTGATAGAAACAAAATCTTTTAATACTTGAATAAAATTTAAACTATAAAAAATATCATTTATTACTTGCTTGCACAATTATGTAATTAAAAAAGTTAAATTAAAAACATGTCTTGTTATACACAGTGCTGTAGCAGTAGTAATCAAATGTTCTATTGATATTTTATGACATTCTTTGAGACAGAAAACTACAGGAATAAAAAACTTTTGTAAAGTATCCATGCCACAATTTCACATTTCATAACATCCAAAGAAAATTCAGTAATAGCTTTTATTAAAACACTAAATAAACAAGCTTTTCCTTTGCGTGATTCATCATAGTTCCTATTACAATTATGATTCTCATAAAGGAAAAACAATATGGCTAATTAAAATTTATACTTAATAAGTCTAAAATCTGGATATAGACATTCTAATTTTTTTGCCACGAATTCTTGATTATCAAAGAAAACCAAGGAACAAATCCTAGTTTTTATTGATGCAATTATAAACAGCGTCTATTTGTGATAACTCTCTGTCTTCCTTTCTTGTCTAAAAAGGATATCGTGATATCAAAAATTCTACACAATTAATTTAATATTTGGTCGGCTAACTTTAAAGGAAATGATGCTTTTCTTTAACATACAAACTTTTTCTATAAAATGCTATATATACTTGTGAATTAAGCAACATTATGAACTAAACAACGGCCATGTTATATGTTTAATAAATAAAAAAAACACAAATCAAGCAGGGTCTATCTTCTAAGAAAATTCCGAATTTTATTTTTCATATTTGAAACCTTTTCTCTCCTTATTTATCATTACAAATCCATTACAAATGCAAGTTATTAAAATGATACACAGTCTAGTGTAATAAAACTGGGGATGTCCATTAATATATTTGGATATATACTCGCTGTTACCTATTAATTTTTCCTCCTAAATTTTCCTCCATAATTTTTCCTCCTAAATTACCTACTAAATTTTCCTCCTAGTGATAGTATATATAACAAGATAGATATATAACAATAAAACTTGATAAAAATTCTACTTAGGGTGTATGTAAAAATGGAAGTCCAAAGTTTGATCTCACTAAAATAATCATTTTTTAATTTTTTTTAAACTAATAAAAGAAAAAATTTAAAAAATAAAGTTCTACATAACAAAATAAAAAAAGGTATGTCAATTCAAGTTTCTAATTAAGTTATTTAAGTCGAAAGTTAGTTTAACCTCCACCAAAACATTGTAATTATTATTTTTTAATAATCGCTGTAGTTTGGTTTTATTAGTTACATATAGTAAAACTTTTTTCAATCAAGTTGAAAAGCTTTTATTCAATTTTTTTGGTACGTCCAACGACGTAGCAGACATCCCCTAGACGCGCCCCTGCAAATATTTTAAATATTTAAATAAAAAAGTCACATATATAAATTTGTTTATACAACTAGTCTTAATAAAAATATATATCATACAATTAGTGTAGTTGATATTTTTTTCAGAAATCATACTTTTTGATTTAAGATGACGAAGGAATGAATGTAAGCTTTTAATCCTTTTTATAAGACAACGCTTGGATTGCTGAAGAATTTTAATTGTCTTCTGTTTAGCAGCGAGTTTACTTATAGTTAATTTTAAAAATTTTTTACTATTTTTTGGTGTTACTATATAATTTTCATCGAAATCACTAGTATACCGTTTACCATTGGTTGTAGGATTGATTTGACAATTTTCAACATTATTGTTCCTAAATAAAGATGTTACAAAAAGTAAACTCAAACATTTTACATCAATATATGCCATTGTAAAAGTAATTCTAAAGTATTCCATTGTAAAATAGTTACATTAGACTTACTGTATTGAGTTATTGGTGATATTTTGTTAACATTAATGATATAGTTGTCAACGTTATTGTTCCTAATAATATATAGGTATTACATGTTACAAAAAGTAAACTTAAACATTTTAAATAAATATATGCCATCACAATATATTGAAATTGCCATCACAAAATATTGAAATATTTTTTCTGTTTTTTGATGGTTTTCTAGTATAAGTGCTTTTTCTTAAATGTGTTGCGAAATCAAATATAGAATTGCATCATTTTTTAGTTTCTTTTGTGAACTCCAAGATTCTTCCAGGAATTTCCTTCATAACAGTCACTATTTAACTGTTTACCACAAAATTTAGATCGTTTACTAGAAGTAAAACCATCCCTTCGCTTAAATTGTATCCATTTTCTCCTCAATTTCAGATCTTTCGAAAAACTACCGACAAAAAAAAATATTTAATAGGTATATTAAAATAATATACTATTTATATTCGACTTATAACGTAGAATCTTATCAAAAGATTTGTAGCTACTTACCCATGAAAAAAACTCCTTTAGTATATCTTTGAGTGCAATTTTATGCAGAACAAGATAAAACAATGATCTTTATATATCTATACTCTATTCGAAAATTAAAATTTAAACAAAATAATCTATATAACAAATATTAAAACTTTAAAAGTGTTAAATACACCAAGCCATTTTTGTTCTAAACCGATATTATAAATTGTTGAATCCCTAAACGCGACATCACGCACTAAAAGATGTTGGCTTCAAAATTTTGTGAATATTAACCTACGGTGAGGCTATCAGTTTATATGGTTGAAGGTTAGTATTGTTGCCAATTGTTATTGTTTGTCTATTATAATTATGTTTACTTGATTCTAAGATATTTACTTGTATTTTTTTTAAATACTTAAGTTTTATATCTATTATTTTTATTTTTTATTTTTGCCTCAAAGTTTAAGAATATTTTTTAGAAAAATATATCGAGTTTTAGCTTGTAAAGAATTTATTGAAGTAATTCTGTTTTTTGCATAAAAAATACGTGGTTGTCTAAATAATGTAAGTAAACAAAAAGGCTGCGAGACATGAGACACGCATGTGGTGAACTTTAAATTTCTTTATTATTATTAAGTCATGCCATTTAGACTAATGGCAAGCTATACCAAAGAAAATTGTGGATTGCTTAATTAAAATTATTCGATTCCGGCAAACTGTTTACATGAAGTAAGATTTATCATCTAAACTATAATTTGTGAATAATTTTTATGTTGTCCATGTTTTGTCTAAGCAACAGATCCTTTTTGTTATTGTTGTTGTTACTGAAAATTGTTTACATGTAAATTAAATTTGATATATATATATATATATATATATATATATATATATATATATATATATATATATATATATATATATATATATATATATATATATATATATATATATATCTGTATATGTGTATATTATGCGGTAATGGTGTAGTGGTAGAGCGCTTGCCTCATAAGCAAGAAACTCCGAGTTTGATCCCCGTCGCGCCCTTGGTAGTAACGCGCTAAACTTGTTTCTCCGCACAGCGGCCTTGTTTGTCAATGTTTTTGTTTCGGAGTTATAGAGTCGAGAGAGGGTGTAACCACGTGTATAGTAGCCTCCTCGACTGTAGTGGCCTTCTCGGTCTTGGGTGAATTAACATAGAAATATATATATAATTTTATTTTTAGATTTAAATATTGTACACTTCCACATTCAAACATTTTTTTAACTAACACAAAACCATTGCATTTTATTTCTTGTTTTTAGTTGACAAATTTGTTTACATTTATTTTAACTTTGAGTATTTTTTACTACAAAAAATAAATATATAACAGGTTTGGATAAAAATTTAATAAGTCATCAAACTAGATCCCTTTTGATAAAGTAGGCCTAGACTCGAGTTTACTTATAACACGACTTATAACTTGGTTGATTTATTGGATTTTACAGTTAAAGGTTTTGTTGTAAAGTGTTAATTGTGGTACCCCATATAGTAATGAATCTAAAATAAATGTAATCAAATAATTAATTTAAATTGATATTATAACTGATAATAGTTTATTGATAATAAAAATTTTCTTTAGTTTCTACTGTGAATTCGAATCCCAATCTAAATTCGTCAGCACCTGCTGGGCGAGGAGCTTTGTTGTCATCCATAAGTACGTTTGGTAAGGGTAACTTAAAAAAATGTAAAACAAACGACAGAAGTGCACCCATTGTATGAGTCAATTGATTTTTTATTCTGTCTAATTGTTTCGCTTGTTTCTTCAAAAATCGTTCTGATTTTTTCTAAACAATTGTTTTTAATTTTTTTGTTTTTTTTTTTGCTTTTGCTTTTTTTTTCTTACTTTATTTGCAAACATTTTAGTTAAATTATTTTTTATAATCTAGATACTTGAATAAGGAGTATAATTTGAGTTCTTATAATTATTATAATTTATAATAGTTATATAATTATTATAATTTAATTAAAAAGGAAATTTTGTGCGTAAATTTGAAATGTGTTTTTAGAGATGTTTTCTATGAATAATTTCTAAATGATTGATTTTTAATTATTTAACTTTTATATAATTTCTTTATTTAATTTTTTTGTAACATATTCATTTTATATGATTTAAAGATTTAACTTGTTTTGTTGTTGCTGGGAAACAGCTCAGTTGGTTAAAGCGCTGCTAAAAATTTCGGAATAATTATTGGTCATAGCAGCATGATTGAAGGTTCAGATCCCGGTTCCGTAAAATAGTAGTACTTCGGTGCGAAGGGAACTTGTCTCGATTAGCTCTGCTACTACGATGTTTCGTAAATAAATATTTTAGACGAGTAAATGAAAATTATTGTTCATCGTTATCGATGCACAAGTGTGAAGTGAAACAAATTAGAGTGATATAATTAAGTTAAATAAGTTGAATTACTTTTTCGTGTCATTAAATAACTATTTAGGAAACATATTTTTTTTTGGAAAACTCAGAATGTCGGGTTGAATAATACGTTTTGTTGTTAGCAGTTTCGCTTACATATAAGATATTTATAAATTTTTGCGTTAAATTTTTATTTCCTCTACTGAGCATACTTTTAAATTTTTAGTTTACTCATCTTCTACACTTTTTATATTCCACCATACAACTCTAGGTTAAAGATCCTGAAAATGCAAGATGAATGAAACTTAGTTTTGAAAAAATAAAAAGCTAGTTGTATTAAAACACTTTTCGACATTGCTAAATGAGTATTCTGTCTATAATTACACCCTTGAAAACTTTAGTTTTATTTATTCGCTTTATTTAAATGTAAATAAAGAAAGTGTGAGTAAAAGAGTTTTGATATTTATTTGAAGAATAAAAAAAAAAAAAGATCTTTTAATCTTAGAATGAATTCAACAAGATGCAAATGCTTTAAGAGATGCTAGAGACATTAAAAGGAAAAAGGTCACTGTGGACCAGAGTGACCCCCCGGTTAAGTTGTTCCCCAGGTCTGATTTTTCTTTTACAATTGTTAGATAAACATTAGTAAATTCCAATTGATGGTACTCAAAACTTCTGGGGAGTTGTCCAAAGTAAAAAAATTGTTGTTTATAAATTAGGTTTTTTAAATCGTAAAAGTGTGTATAAATTTTCGACAAAAACCGCTAAAAATCCGAAAAAACCTATAAATTGTGTAAACTGTTGCGGGCTGTTTATATAAAACATGTGCTCACAACAATACGGAATAAATATATGAAATTCAAAAAACTAAAGGTTTCATGTATGCGTGATTAAAAAAAAACTAACAGTTTTCTCATTGCATGCATAAACTTATATGTATATTTTAATTGATTTGTATGTATATACAAATGTTTATTGAAATACAACTAAGGATGTATATACAAATGTTTGTATATATAAATGTTTGTATATGCATATTATATGTATATACAAACATTTTATAGGCATGTATGTGTATATACATACAAACATATAAATGTTTCTATATACATGTATGTATTTACAAATGTTTATTGAGAAAAAATGCCCTCCAGGAGGGTAATTTGCTGTATCTCCATAACCAAATGCCCCCCTCCTTCCTTCCCTAATAGTTTTCAATACAATGTATACAATGTACTTAAGTTTTTTAATGTATGTCATACTTGACTGCATATTTAAGTGTGGTAAGATGATATAGAACAAAAAATCAGACCTGGGGAACTACTTACCCTCATAGTCACTGTTGTCCACAGTGAGTTAAGTGGTATTAAATCAGCAATTAATTTGTCTGAGCCGTGATCAATTCAGAACAATTTTCACTAAAATCCAAAAGATTTCCAAAGATCTTAGAACAATTAATAAACGACTTGTTGTTGAAATTGGAAAAAAAAATAGAATACTGTTCAATTTTCACCAAAGACCAAAAAGAGTCGATACGTACACATGATTGAAAAAGAAATCTTTTTCAATCATGTGTACGTATTATTCTTGTTAAACTGTCCAAGTTGAAAATAATAAATTCTATTTTTTATGATTATTTTTTGTGATTATATTATTTATTATATTCATTTATTATAAAGATCGATTTTCTCATGCAGTAGCGTAGCGAGATGGGGGCCAAAGAAGAAATTGCCCAGGGCGCAAAGATTTAATAGGGCGCAAAATTATTAATTTATCTTTAGTTTCCCTGTTAAATATATATATATATATATATATATATATATATATATATATATATATATATATATATATATATATATATATATATATATATATATATATATATATATATAGATAGTATATGGTTTTAGTTATTTAAACAAAAAAAATAAAAAGTTTTATGTCAAAAATTTAAAAAATATAATGTTCATTTCTAAGTATATAAAACTTTACTCCTCAAATTTTATAAAAATTTTAGTTCTTTTATTCTCTAGAAAAGAACGAAACTGCAACATAATGGTTTTTTTTATTATTAAATTGTTTATAGCGCGATTTGTTTTATTATAAAAATCGCACTGTCTTTTATAAAATTTTTATAAAAGTATGATAAAAGTTATTTTAAAAAAATATTACTTTATTTTTAAAATCAATATAAGTATATAAAATAATTATTTAATACAGAATAAAAGTTGTTAGATCTTCAATTGTAGTTGACAGATTTTCTATTATAAGTTCATTATATATTACAGGGTTATGAGGAAATATAAACAAATTTATGTGGAAATATAAATTATATTGTGCGGAAATAAAAACCTTTTTAATATAAATATTTTCATGCAATAATATTGTTTTAGTCTTGTCACTGTGAACCATTTTTTGAAGCTGGTGTTATAGTAAATAAATCAATAGTTATATAAAGAATATTGATGAATTTATACATGTTATAATCACTGAAAGAAATATTGACCCTCTTTTTACAATTATAAGGGTTGCTGTGGATTCTGGTCAAAGTTTTTTAAAAGTCACAATGAATGTTTTTAATCCGCATGATAAAACTAGCAACTAACCTGACCTTGATGATGCTAGAGTGAAGCTTTGTTTTATTGTTGCTATTGTAGAAGGAATATCTGAACACAATGAAAATCTTAGGAAATTAGTTGATCCTCTTAATCTTCAAAATATTCTGTTGCATTCGATTTAAAGTGTGCAAACTCAATGCTAGGCATTACAAGCCATGCTGGAAAAAATAGTTGTGGAATAAAACGAACTCTTTGTTCTCTTGATTATCAATACAGTAAATACGTAGAAGCTTGAAAACCAAAATCAAAGATGGCTGATTTAAAAATGTAATTAATCCAAGAGTTTTACATCTTGAAGAAGATCCGGACACAATTATAGAAAATTTTGTTCCAGTACCTGAGTTACATATATTAATTGGAACAGTTACGACTTTTGGAAAGCTTTTATCAAAACTATAGCGTGACTTTGACCGATGACTTTTACTCTTCGATGGAACTTCTGCTCTCCAGAAAACGCAAGATTTATTTAATTTTTATTTTTAATTTCATATTCTCTTACTTATATTTTCTTATTTTAATTTTCTTATTTTAATTTAAATATTTTTGCATAAACAAAAGTTTGTATTTCAGCATTTCTGTATTTCCAACAACAAACCGCCTATTTCCTTATGTTCCCTAGATGCTAAAAAAGCTTTTGACATTGCAACTGGAATCTTCTCTTTGATAAACTTTACTTTGATAAAAACCTACCCTCTAAATAGTTAACACTGCATCTTCTATAAATCAAAACAGTAGTGTAACTGTCTCTTACATTGGCTTCAATTCAGTTTTATTTGCTTTTAAGCAAGGTATTAAAACAAGGATCGATTTTGTCGCCCCACTTATATAACATATACACCTCAAAATTACTTGAAACTATAATACATAGTCAACTTTTGTACGCAAATATTGTATGGGCCAGCACCCATAAAACAAAACTGCTAAAATTACAAAGCCTGCAAAACCATGCATGCAAAGTAATAAACTATAGTAAACCCGGCCCCAGTGATGAAAAGCATGATGGTTCTAGATATTGAGAAGCTTAACACATTACAGATATTAATTTTTATGTATAAGTATAAGAACAACCTCGTACCAAGCGTTTTTTCAGATATTTTCTTGACATCATTTTCTGAAAAATTTAATTTGCGTTCAAATACGAGGTACAACTATCACTTAGGGAAAATTAATTCACATCAGTCAAATTTTTTAATAACAAACCGTGGCCCATCAACATGGAATCATTTCCAAAATAAAAATATTAAAGACCTAAAAAGCATTTCATCGTTTAAACGGGAAACTAAAATGCATCTTCTTAATTCCTGACATATATATTTTTTTAATTTACAGTATTTGTTTTTATTTTTGTTTGTTTTTTTCCGTCTTCTTCTTATTTTTCTTGTTTTTAATATTTTTTGTTTTTGAATTTGTTACACTAAAAAAATATGAGCTTTGATTTATTGAATTTTTATTTTATTTTTAAAAATTAAATTGTCTTTATAATGAGTGACTATAGGGGCTCTATGAAAAGGTTGTGATGTTAAACACATCATCCTTACCTTCTTTGAGTCCCTGACTGATTAGAACAGAATATACATAATATAAAATAAAAAATTATGAAAAAACGTTTTTTATCATGTTTATCTTTACGACGTGTATTTTATGTATTTTTTACATGATTATATGAAAATTGTTATTGTAACTGTTGAATCAGCAAAATAAAATTATATATAATAAAATAAAAATAATATAAAAAACTTTATTGGTACTTTTATACATGGGAACTTCACAGGTGTTGTTGCTTATGCTGACGACATCATTCTAATTAGCTCTACTTTATCTGGTCTTGAAAAGATTATAACAACGCTTATAAAAAATAATACCAAATAAAAAACTTTATCATCTGGGCTTTAAGTGGAATACATCCAATTTTGCCTCATTAAATAGATCAAATATTAACAATAGAGTATCAAATTTCTAAACAACAGTGCAAACTCTGATTTGATCTGGTATCCAATTTGCACATTCATCTTCAATTATCTAATTATATAAATCTTCAGCAGTTCTAACGCTAACACGGTCGATACTTTTTTCCAATGAGCAAATCCAGGTTTCGCGTTTTATGTAAAATCAAGACCCGAATTATTTAAATTTATTTAAATTGTTTATACTCATTTTCTTATAATAATTTGCGATAGATAAATAATTATTATGTATATTATGGGCTGTCCATTAATTACGTCAACAAGTTTTTTGAAATTTTTACCTTCCCCCCTCCTCCTTGTCAACAATTAGTCAAATTTCCAGAGACCCCTCCTATAAAATTACGTCAATTTTTGATTACCCCTCTCCCTCCCTCTATACA